CAGGGTGGGCCTTGCTCTTCCAGGGGCCTGCTGTGGCTTCCCCTGGGTCCTACTGCCCCTGGCTCCTGTCACTTTTGACTGGAGCCAGAGGCAAATAAATATGAATTTAAAAAAAATTCCTAGGGGCCCCATGGGCCAGACAGAATGGCTTAGTGGGCCAGATGCAGCCTGCGGGCCATATTTTGCCCACCACTGGTGTAGTCCTTTAATAGCCATGTCTTCATAGAATAGTGTTCTTTTTAAAACTGGCAGAAACTGAAAATCTATATGGTGAGTATCAGCAGAAATAACGTCTATGGGTGAATAAAATGGACATAACTGTAAAACTGACAATGCCTTTACCACAGCAATATTAAGTAGGTATCATTCAGATGAATTTTATATATAAATTTTCTGCAATGAATGTATGAGCATAAAACATTAAAAAAAAATAGTGAATAGTTACTCCGTGGGGGACTACATTGAAAACTAGCATTAGTTCCTTATCAAGTACCCAGAACAACTGTCACAATATGCAAAACACCCACATCCTTTACCTAAGGGATATGTGAACTGTCAGTCAAAGGAGACTAAGTACTGTACTTAAAAACAGGTTACTTTGAGCATCCAATAAATTTCAAGCTTAGTCCTTCTTAGAGATTAAAATACAACTCCCTGTAAAATAGTCACCAAAATGATTGAAGTGATATCCCTTTAAATGAAAATATTACATTTAAATATTGTTATATGAAGACATTTTTTAAATTATTAACTTTACCAAGGGCTCCTCTTGGATTTTTAGTTAAATTCATGAACTGGATTTAGTGCAGGATGTTTCATTTGATACAGCAAAACAGACAAGTAACATAAGACAAAGAAAAACATAATCTAATCATGAGAGCCCAATACTGCAGTGGGACAAGCAATCAACTCCCACTGCAGTCCCAGGAGGTATTCATTTGCACTGAGAGCAAAATTTGGCCCTATTTTCTTATTCATAAATTGGCATATCATAAAGTGATAAAATTCTAGGGCACTATTTCAGCAGACATTTTATCCAAAACTAAGGAGATTTACAGTCCTTTTTGTTTTATGCAGCAATGGCAAAACACTGAGGATTTCTAAAATTAGAAAAAATACCAGCACAGTAAATGCAGGAACAGGCAGTCCTGTCTAACTTTAAAACCAGCAATCTCTCTGCTAGTGCTCACCGGTATATTTACCTAAAGGTTTTAGCTGCCTATGTTCCCTCCTATCCATGTTTTGGAATAAGACTCTCTCCCAGTTCCCCTCGAATTCCAGGACCAATCCAGGTTGTATTGACATGACCAAACTGCTCAATTCTGAGAGTGTGTTTGTTCTTTTATAGCAGGGGTGTCAAACTCACCCAGCCTCATGTTGCGCTGGGGCTGGCATACGCCTTACATGGTGCACAGGGGTTAGAGTTGGTAGGCTGCACACAGGCCTACAGGCTGGATTGAGACCACAGGCAGTCCACACATGCTGGAGCCATCCCTCAGGTACAGATGCCATATGCAGCATGCACACTAAACCATTGGCTCCAGCCCCACGCAACACATACACGACACATGGGAACAATCCAGAACATGCACTACACAGTGCATGGGGCCAGTCCAGAGTGTGCAGGGCCAGCCCTGTGCACTATATCCAGCAGGCAGGGCCCACCTTGGGCCCAATCCAGACCAGCCCTGGATCCTGCACGCAGCATACCAACTCAAGCTCCCACATGCTACGTGTAGCACATGCCAGCCCTAGCCGAGGACAACATGCAGGGTCACTCCAGGCCACATGCTACATGTGGTGTCCGTGCCACACTGGCCCTGCATGCTAGCTCTAACCCAGGCCCATGGTTTGTGGGCCTGATCTAAATCAGTGCCAAATCCAGCACGCAGGGCCACTCCAGCACAGGTGCCGCATGCAGCGCACACCCCAGGCACAGACATAACCATGGGCCAGATACAACCTGCAGGCCATGTCTTTGACACCCCCATTCTATAGCAAGACAACTGTTACTGCAATTAATAACTAAAGCCAAATGCCTCTTTAAACCTTATCACATCTATTGGCATCCATAACAAAACAAGAATTCCAGCTTACTAAAAAGGAGAAGATTGTATTGCACTGGCATTCTGGCAAAAACACATTTGCTTATATAATCTCGTGAATAGAGCTATCTAAATGAAGAGTCACGGTACGCTCTTCATTATTGGAGATTTCCTTGGTGAGGAGGTAGGGTGATGGAGGGACCATCTTTACCGCAAAGGAACAAACCAAAACAAGAAATGTATAAATCATTCATCTCGTGTGTAAAGTTTCATTACTTCTTCCTGGCATCTTGTGTATACATTTTAAAGTTAAAACAATATGTGAATAAACAGTTTTTTCATTTACTAAAAATCATATGAAAATATAGAATATAATCAAATAAAATGTAGCCCTTTAGGACATTTCTCCAGCAGGGACCATTATCACAATAAATGGTCTTTAATAGATATAATTGCAGGATAATTCCCATGATTGAATATCAAAATGAATTGTCAGATTCATATTCCCAAACATTAGTTTCTCACAATTTATCTAAAAACGTGTGAGAATTCTTTTTCTGACATTCTACTTTTAAAAAAAATAATTCTTAGAGCCCACAGACTTTTTAGGCTGCAGGATATTTCTAAGGTGAAGTGCTCTCTCGCTCATAAACATTGTAGTTTAATCTTTCTATGGACTAGAGCTATAACTTCAAGGTAATCTGGCTATTTTTGATTCTGTAAGTGTTTTCAACTAACCGTTTTGTCCGATAAACTTCTGAATGATTTCTTCTTACTCCTCTTAAGATATTCAAAGTAAATATTTGTAAAATACTTAAATAAAATAAGAAATTCTTGTACCTAAGGGTAATAAGAACTTGTACCCAAAGCCTGGTGTTTACACAGTGTCTTCATCTGTGTCCTACTATGGCTGCCATTTTGTCTCTAACTAGAAACTTCACTTTAAAAATAAAAGGAATCCAGAATAGTTATCCACTCTGAAAAGGTAAATCTTTAGTTTTAAAAATTCTTTTCAGAAGGGCTCTTTACAATTAGACTCTCTCTCAAACTAACCTAATTTGGCATCAGTAATGTTTACAGTTCTGCAATGTACTATAAATTTCAGATACTTTAAGAAAACCCTCCAAATACTGAGATGTTTATTGCAATGCTTTTTAAAGATACAGATCCTTTCCATGATTTCCAATGTCATGTTCCTGTTCTTTTTGATATCATCCAATTTTTCTGACATACGATTTTCACCTAATATTAAATATGAAAATACCACTTAAAAACGATATTTCAGTAAATAGAGGGTTTAAGGCAAGTCATTCATTTGGAAAATTTTCTTTCCATATGTTAATCTAGATTAATCATCGTTTTCTACCTCATCAGTGCCTTGGGATGCACAACGTACATTCAGCAAAGGGGCACACATATGACCCTATGGACATACGCTGTAAGTCCTGAGTACCCATTGAAATAATGGTAATATTTCATATACAAGGCATGACCCACAGGGACATGACATGGGAGGGATTAATTTGCTTTGCTTCTAGTCTTACCATTGTATGTGATATTCCTAGGAAATGCATTCTTTTCTTACTAAACATCTTTGCAAACAAATACAAACCCTGTTAAAGGTGCTAAAAATGGATTTTGAAAACATACAAAATATATTCATCATAGTATTCCTCAATCATTGTTTCTGTGATGGATATCTGCGGGTTACTTCTTGCTTCTGATTGAAACTATTAGTTGTTGTGGAATAACTGTTCTGTTGGAAAGCATTTTCTTCCTGCTTTAGTTTTTTGGAACATGAGGGTTGCACACTTTCTTGCTCTTTTCTTCCTTTTTGAGTTCTTTTCATTGGAAATAGCAACAACACTAAAATGCAGACAATGTGAAGACAAAAATACCAGGAGCTAGGGGGAAAGAGAGAGAAAAAGTAAAATCTTTCCTCATTATATTTATTGTTAAATATGACACTACTGGAAAATAACAAGCTCCATGGTAAAAGTACATTTACCAAGAAAAACTTCAGTGTGACATCTCTCAGTACAGACTGCAATGTACACACACAGCTTTGCAAATCACATTGCCACTGGGTGTCTGAGAAGTCTAACACATTTTGTCTTACTTAACAGTATAACCCTTATGCTATACTTCATTTAAAAAAAAAAAGAAACGTTAGATGTCTAAAACCAAAGAAAAAGAAAAAATTGAGCAATGAGAAGAGAAAAAGGGAGTGAATAATGATAATAAAAGACCCTACATAATCATTTTTGCATTATAGATAAAGCCATATTAAGGGCCTGTGTTCAGCAGTGAGGGCACAGGTAGGGCTCAATATACCACACAGAATAACTAAAGCCAGGGGTGTCAAACATTTGGCCTGTGAGCTGGAGTCAGCCTGTGGAGCTGTCATCTGACCCAGAATTTCTCCTAGGGGAGCCAGGAATTTGGTGGAAAGACCCACCACTGAAACCTGCAGCACAGAGTCCCTTTAAAGTTGCTCGTGACCCCCCAAGGGGTCACGACCCAGTTTGAGAACCCCCGTATTAGGAAGATGTTGTGGGGATGCTCAGTGAGGATACTTATTTTGCCTTATTTCTGGGCTTGTGCCTGTGAAAAGTGGGAGTGGCTTGATTCTTGGTAGTGGTCCTAATGTTTCCACAGAGGTGGTATACTCTTATATGTAATGTATGAAATCTATAAAGAAGGTGAAAAAGTTGCCTTCAGGCCAAATCAAGGTAAGTAAGGACTTGTTCCATGCCAGGAACACAAGTTACTTAGATGCAGAAGCAACTAGAGTTCTTAGAGAGATGTTGTCCATGTGCACATCCTCATTGTGTGTGCATATGCATTACAAACACTCAAGCTCTGAGGCTATTTGCCTTAGCAATGCCTATATAGTATACCCTAGCTTTAATTCTCCTTATACCCATGCTCGGAGTATAGAGAGTAGTTCATATTTCCCATACCTTCTTTTACTAGCCAGCATCAGCAATGATTGATTTGGAGGAATCAGGGAGGCTGAGGTACAGGAGCAAGACATGAGCAGTATGACCTATCATGAACATTAGGTATGGGCTGAAGGTGCCACAATCAGAATGGCTACATTAGAAAGATCACAGAGGAACATACAAGCACAAAGTGGAAGCCATGAGACATGAGGGGTAAGGTTTCAGGCCCAGGCCAGACCTTTAGGAGTAACCAGTAAGACAGGGGTGGGCAATTATTTGGGCCTGCAGGCCACATAGGGAGTTTTGCTGAGCTGTTATGGGATGAGTCAGCACCAATCCTTCCCCCCCATGCAACAGCTCACCAAAACTCCTTATGTGGGATGGGGCCACAGGCCAATGTGGAGTGGTGTTCAGGAGCAGATCAGGCAGGCAAGGTCAGGATCATGGGGTGGGGTTTTGGGGTGGTAGAAGCGCAGGGCTCAGACTTGGGGCAGGAGCCATAATCTATGCCTGCAAGCCCCTGCTACGGGACCCTGGCCATGCAGCCCACAGCTGGTCTCTGGGATGGAAACATGGAGACCCTGGGATTGTGGGATGGTGACAGTGCAGGGCCAGGGCCAGTGCAGATCCGCAATCTGCTCCCCACATGTCCCAACCCCAGCCCTACACTGTCACTGCCCCGCAATATCAGGGTCTCCATGGATACTGGCTGGCAGCCGTGTGGCCAGGGCACACAGCTGGGAGCTACATCCAGGGCTAGGACTGGGACCAGGTCCACGATCTTGGTGCAGTGACAGCACAAGGCTGGGGGCGAGCTGTGATCAGTTCCCTGAATGTCCCTGCCCGTGAAACTGGCACCTGTCACAGGGACATGTATGCAGTGGATCATGGCTCTGTCCTGGCCCCACACTGTCAGCACCGCAAGATCCCAGGGTCTCCCCAGCCCTGACCTCCATCTCACACCTGGACACTGCTCCCCATCTGCCCATGGCCTCATCCTAGTCACCCAGCCAAGCATGCCTTGCCCATGGGGGTCCCACCCCCAGTGGTGGGTGTGGGGTGGATAGGCTGGAGTGTCCAGGCAGCAGGACTGGGTCCAGCAGCTATGGCAGCCAGAAGGAGCTGCTGCTGCCAGGGCTACCAGGAAATGGAGTCTGGCCACTGAGCTGCCCCAGCCTTGCTGTCCCCCATGCCTGGGCTGGGTGCAACTGAGGGACCTGCTGCAGGCCCGACAAAATCCTTTAGCAGGCTGGGTCCAGCCCATGGGCTACATTTTGCCTACTCCTGCAGTAAGACCTGTGATTCAGTTCTGTGCTCCATACCGTAACAAGGACTCTACTGAGCCAAGAAGCACAAGTAGTGCTGCATATATCAGATGCTGAGGATAAAACAAAAGGACAAGGCCAGTGAAGTACTGGTGGAGTTGAATGCAATACTAATGACAGATCTGCCAGAAGCAAACATATCAGTTCCAGGGAACCACCAAGTTACCTGGAGTCATAAAGGACAGTGAAGCTGGCTGGGATGTAAAATTAGGAGCTAGATAAACATCCCTATATGGCTTGGACAGCTGGGGTGCATCAGGCCAGCCTTACTTATATAGCTCCTTACTGGCTGAGAGGGGCACCAGGATCCCTACTTGGGTCCAGCTGGGGCAACTGTGTGCAGCCTCCCAGGGTAGCTGCCTTGTCCAGGGATCAAAAGTGGAACCCAATGACTTAACTAGGAGCTAGGAATGGGAAGATGGTCCCTAAAATGGCAGTGCCATGGAGTGGTGCAGATGAAAGGTATGGGGGGAATCCATGTGATAGACCCCAAAAGGCGAAGAGGAGCAAAAAAAAAAAAAAAAAAAAAAAATTTACCATTTTTTTATTACCAAATTAGAAAA